TATAAAATACAAATATCTAAACGTATTTGAGAGATATGCATTCTCTAGCTGTTGGCTGGTCTGTCCGTCTGTAGGGGAAGAGTTATTGTTTCCAAGTTTTGTCATTTTAGCACAGTGGAATTCTGCCTGCCCCTTAAAAATCTGCATTTATAGTTTGGCTATGGAAATTTACTCCAAGTTGGCAACCAAAATATTCGATCTCAAGGACTTCTTTTACCTATGATTTGAAGGAAAAGAAAAAGGGTCAGTCAGTATGGAATTCTCTCAGAGCAAGAACATCACTTTAGACTGTTAAATCAATGTTGGTGGCCTAAAATTTTAAAACATTAAATTTTGTACCTAGTTTTTACTGCTGCCAAGTTTCCTTTGGAAAGAACAGTCAAACTATTTTTTTTTCCAAAAGAACACTAAAAAATTCACATTATTGTTTAGCATGCAGACAAAATGCAGATGTGATCCTACTTTATTTTAACATGTGCACTGCATTCTCTTCAAACTGACCATATTTCTGACTGGCTCCTTCTCATGATGAAATGAATCACAGCACTGTCAGTGAGCTCACTTGAAGCTGGAGTGAGTTCTGTACCTACAGATGAGAGAGGACATACCAAGCGCGGGAGCTTCTTGCCTTGCCTGGAACCAGGACAATTCACTCCAGCTGAGAAGTCTTTCCGTAGGATTTCTTTATCACTCAGACTCTCCAGAAGCATAAGTCTTTCTGGAGGACAGTATATCCAAGGGGACTTCTAGTTCTTGGGTTGTTTTTAAGGCAATCCATTGAATGTAGGCTGTCTTAAGACTTGAATATAGTTTGACTTTAGCATATCTTAAGTTTTGTGCCGTTCCCTTGCAGGGAAAAATCTTTATTACTTTTTGAGATGAAAGCAGTGGTACTCTGATACAAAAACAACAAAAAGCACCATTTGTTATTCTGATAGGCCCTAAGCAATTAAATAAATATGATTTATTTTTTTTTGCTGAGAACTTGTGTGTTTTTCCAGATGGCCAGAGCTTTTTTGAATCACTAATGGCAGGTGGACTTTCAGGTTGAAAGATCCACATCTAAATTTACTTGAGCATTTCTAAAGAACATTTCCCATTTTTAAAGCATCTCTGCAGGCCTAAAACCAAGTGAATGGAAACACTAACCAGAGACCGGGGTGGAGTTTAAACTGCTTGAATATGGCTTGAATCATTGGGAACTCTAGCACCACCTGAGCTGACAGGACCAAACAGCACACTGCCAGGTCAAGGTATTAGCTCAGATTAGACATGTTTTAATGCTATGTCTCACTTCAAACAGCAGAGCTCCCCT